AAGTATACATATGTTTAATAAAGCACACATACCTAGCCTGACAGAGGGTTTAAAAAAAAAAAAAAAAAGAATATTAGACTTTAGGAACCTATCTTTAATTACAGTATCAATTTTTTTGCAAAATTTTTTGTTATAGTATACAAAAAAATTTTTTTTGTCACAATATACAAATTTTTTTTTGTTACAATATTATCAAATTTATACTGAATTTTTTTGTTACAATATATTGAAAATTTTTTTATCAATTTTTTATTAATATTTTTAATGCTAAATGGTAGCAATTAAAGATAATTTGTCAATATTTTTATTATTATATTTTATTAAATTTATTTAGTATTAAAAATCTGATAACTTCTTTTCTGTCTAATTTTTTTATTTTTTTATTATTAATATCAGTTTTAATTTTATTAAAATATTAATTAGAATTGTTGATAGTTATAAATACTGATTTACTATTATTGATCTAAAAGTTATTGACTGTATAAAATATTCTTGCTGTTTTTAAAATTTGTTATAGTATATATATAATTTTTTTTTTAAGGAATAACAAAGTTCAGTTATACATAGAGATTGTACACTTATATAAGGAGTTTTAACTATATACAGTATGCATCTAGCTATATACATCTTAAAGAATATATATATGGACTCAATGTTTTATTATTGTACCTCAATGTGAATCCATTTTCAGGTTATTGGTCTGTTAATGTGACTTGTTGTCAGAAGAATCCCAACTATCCAGCTTCCTATGTCTATATTATATTTTTCCTAACTCAGGATCATAACATATGACCTCTTTTATATCTTATCCCACTGGATATTCTTTTTACAATACTTATTGCAGTATGCCTATAGAATACTTACATGGAGTCTTAAATATCATCTCATTTCATAGATAACACTTTTTACATGACATATTATGGCTTGCCTATAAAATGACCATATAGAGTCTTGGATAAATGTCAATTCTTGATAAAGACTTTTTTCTAACTAATGTGTCTAAGCTCCATTAGTCCTCTAATTTTTATGGCATATAGATCTTTGGCCTATCTGTAGAAGCTTGTTAGAACCTATCTTATAATAAGGTGACTTCAGTACTAAAACTGGCTAGAGTATTTTGTGATCTTTGATTATCACGTAATTAGATGGGATCTTGGTCAAAGGTGATAGTGATCATTATCATGGGACAGATATATTCTTCCTATATTACCTAAGCTTAAGTGATATTGCCTCACAGTGGTATTGAACTTAGAAGTAGTGTATGGTGACCTAAAAGCATTATCACTGCATTATTGATTTACAGGTCTTATTTGTTATTATATATATTTTTTGATTGAGCTATCCAGATAGTATTATTTATAAAGACAATTACTATATATTTGAATTCTAGTCTATGTTTTTTTTTGATTTCAAGATCTAAATTCTATTTAACTGATATTTTGTAGTCTTTAGTTTTATTATTTTGAGTTTTATAAAACAATAGATTATAGAATATTCTTCATAAAAGAGATAAAATAGTTTTACTTAGATCCATCTCATTTTCAGCTATTATTGACTTTATCAGATTATTTTTATATAATATTTAAAACTCTTTGTTTTAAAGAAATCAATTATAATTTTAATAAAGCTTGTGAGAATTTTAATCCTTTTTATTGTTTTTTATAATATATTCAGACTTATAATATCATACTTTAGCCATGTTTTAAAAGAGTTTTATAATTTTTTCTTGTTTTCTTTTACTTTTTCATAAATATTATTTAATACTTGAATTGATTCAATAATATTTTTTTCAAGTAATTTGATCTAATTTGAATTTTTTAAGATTTTATATATTTTACAAATACTATTTAATCTATTGGTAGGAATCTTTATAAAATATTTTCAGATGATCTCAAGAAAAACAATTGGTTTTATATTTTGAAGTTTATATTTTTATAGTTTTAACTTAATAATTGAATAGATGAAACTTTGTTTCTATTTATTTAAAATGATTTTTATTTTCAGGAATTTATTAAATATCTTTCAAAGATATATTTTGCTTTAAGTACTTAGTTTTTTAAGTATTTCATAACAAATTTATAATTTTTTAGAAGTTTTGTTATTTAAAAATAATTGGATAGTTTTATTCTATTCTTCTTGAAATATCAGTTCTATCAATCCTATATATCAGTTTTTATCAATGTCTGTCTTGAATTTATATTCTCTTTTTCACTTTTCTGTTAAATAATTCTAATCTATTTATTGTTTTCTGAAGGCTTCTTTGTGATATCTTCAAAACTCTTTTTCAATATATATATATATTTTATTGTGATATATTTCTAATTATTATCTATAGTTTTAATCCTGTCTAGTGTTATCTTGACTTTTTTCTATCTAATATTGAGTTGAATATTATTTATTTTTATTTTTGAATTGTAATTTTATACTCAATTTTATATTTGGTTTATTTTTTCAATTTCAATATTATTTTCTTTTGATTTAATTATATGTTTAATACTTTATTATAAAGCTCTTGTTTCTAAACCTGAATATATTTTATTTGTATTAAAAATTCTTTTTAAATTTATATTCTTTTTATAATAATATTATTGATCTCTTTGTTAATTAGTTTCGATTTTAAAAAATTTATTATTATTAATATTTCAAGTGATATTATTCAAAATTTTTTTAATAAATATAAGATATTTATGTTACTTAAAGTAAATCTTTAAATTCTGGCTTCAATTATAATTCAGTCAAATATAGATTTGAAATTTACATCGAAAAACCGATTGGTTACAATTTTGATGATTTCTTCAATATTCTTTCATAATATTCTTTAATTTTCGAAGCTCTTCTCAATTCCAATTTTCCAACTTGCTGTATGTGTACTTCATCGGGACCATCTGCGATTCTTAGAGTGCGCCCCATAGCATACAGATGAGCAAGCGGAAAATCATCACACAAACCTCCAGCACCATGTGCTTGGATGGATCGATCAAGTACCTTTAGCAACATAGTTGGCACAATAGCCTGCATATTCATATTGCATTATAAATGATTTATATCAAAATGAAGCGGAATCCATAATATCAATATAACTAAATTAGGATATGATAACAATAGTATAATTAAATAGACAATAATCACCTTGGCCATCCCAATTTCCTTCAAAGCTCTTTTAGTACCTACTTTATCAATCATGTCGGCAGCGTTAAGAACAAGAAACCTAGCTTGATCAATAATCATGCGCGAGTTGGAGATATCGGATAATATGGTCCCATGTTCAGCAAGGAGTTTTCCGAAGGTACGACGAGAAGGATCCGTAACGCGCATAAGCATCAAATCTAAACCACGCTCAGCAACACCAATTGATCTCATGCTAAATAACATGAGAATTTTGAACTATTTAGAACTCGGATGATATTTATTTTAATATCAAAAAAATCACCAAATGCCACACCAATGATGAATTCTTCCAGGTCCTAATCGTCCTTGAATTATTTCAAATCCTCTTCCTTCACC